TACAACCAGGTATGAAACCTACTAGCACAGCATACAACCAGGTATGACATAGTAAACCCTACTAGCATAGCATACAACCAGGTATCACATAGTAAACCCTACTAGCATAGCATACAACCAGGTATGACATAGTAAACCCAACTAGCATAGCATACAACCAGGTATGACATAGTAAACCCAACTAGCATAGCATACAACCAGGTATGACATGACATAGTAAACCCATCTAGCATAGCATACAACTAGGTATGACGACATACCACGATTGCTCTCGTCCAGAGAGGCCGCTTTCTCGTAGTCCTTCACGGCATCATCGTATTGCTCAGACTCCAGTTTGCACTTGGCACGACGTGTGTAAGCTTTCACGAAGTTGGGATCGAGCTCCACGCATCTGTCGCAATCTGCAATAGCCGCTTCGAACTTCTTTTGCTGTGAGTAGAAAATGTCGGGATACAGAGTTTTATAAGAATTTGTGGTCTATACTACACTATGTATTTAGCAGACAGTCGCTTGATCGGCCCTCAACGGAAAAGGTCCCGGATTCTCGGCGTATTGATGTAGCAACCACGAGTCAAAGAGATGCTTTTGCTATTCATAACCGCACGTGCATGCCCTTCCATAAGCCATGAACGTCCAAAACCACCTATATTGACAATCGTACAAAACAGTACCAAAACAATGGGACTAATTTATACCTGTTGCAGAACAGCTGCTCTGTTGCTATATAGGCGGGAGTTTGTGTATGTGTTATTCTCGTCCGCCTCGATGGCCTCCGTATATAATGCGAATGCCTCGTCGTACTTGCGTGATTTGTACGCTTCGTTGCCCGCTTTCTTACTCGCCTCCACGGCCTTGATAACCTTGCGCATATTTCGGGCCTTCGTGTGGTCCGGATGGCTCTTTAGACACTGCACCAAATGGTTGAGGGCACTGTCACAGTTACCCTGGTAGTACAGGGCCAGGCCTCTCAGATACATTGCCTCTGCGTCCTGTGCATTGTCTCTCAGGAGCGCGGCCGCATCGTTGCAGACCTACACATGTGAATTGAACATGCATATTCTTACTGAGTTTCAAAAACCACAAGCAGGCATAGTGTGTTTATATCATGCCGGAAGTACTCCTCAGCATAATGAACTACGGGAAAGAACACCAGGTAGTAGACTTATGCTGACAACTGCAACTGTCTACTTATACATGCGAATAAATCCTTCAAACGTGTGCACGGCATACCAGCTCGTATTTCTTATTGCCCAGAAGAGCTTCCAAACGCAAATAGATTGTGTTTTTGTCTCCCGGGGCCATTTCGAGGGCCTTATCGAAATTGAAAACGGCCCTGGCATAATCCTTCGACTGTAGAGCCTCCCGACCCATAGCCTCGCTTTTTTTGTATCGACCCAAAGATGCTATCTAAAATCCAAAATATATGTAAACAGATGATGAGAAGGATTTGACTGATAGGTAAGTACGGATTACACCTACGGATAAACGTCAGCTCAACGGTAGCCACAGATGGGGGCATAGGCGGCTGGGAAGACCAGCTGTTGACTCTGCAGCCGCGAAGACCAACTACCTCCGTTTACGAGACCGATAATATCATCGATGCTCTTTTTGAATTAAATCGATATACGTAAGACACGCGCCTGATCGCCACCAATTCGTTCGTGCAGCTATGTATGAATACGTTATAATTACATGCAAACAAATGCTTGAAAATAACTGAACACTATCTGAACCGCAGAGACAACATGACAACGTGATCATTGCACAACACTAAGAATGAATAGATTGACTGTTTCCTACAGTGTTTCGAAACCAACCACACTCATCTCTTCAATATGTATAGAACCCGCAGATAAGCTGACGCATCTCCAGTTCGTGATAAATACAAACGTGAACCTCTCCAAATTGTTCACTACATATCGGCCGTAAAAGTAACGGGTGAACGGCACTTTGAGCATAACATATTGTCCGTAAGAAACTTATAGGCTCGTATATCCGCTTCGAAGGAACGGTCACTTTTTCATGTATACTCATGAATTGAACTTCGCACCTTCAGGCAACCAATAGAAACACAATGGAAAGGCATTGAAAACTACCGGTCCGTAAAATACCACTGTTACACAATAGATCATGTATGCGTGGACCAGAATATATGTGACAATACATGAACAATACATACAACGCGTACATCATACAATTGTTGAGGTGTTTAATTAGTGATATAT